CCTGGTCGCCGCAGGAGATCGAGCAGGGCGTGCGCGCGCGTTCCTTTGAGCGCAGCGCCTACGAGCGCTCCAGCTACGGCCCGCCGGCGCCCATGTACGACAAGCGCGGCCAGCCGCTGCCACGGGAGCGGGAGCGCGAACGCTCCAAGTATCGGGAGCGCGAGTACAGGGAGTATGCGCGTCCGGGCTACGACTTTGACTACGAGAACGTCTATGAGGAGCGACGCTCGCCCATGGGACTGGGCTATAAAACGCGGCCAGACTATCTATACGAGCGGGACAGGGACAGGGACAGAGAGAGGGAACGGGACCGGGAGCGCAAGTCATTCGATCGCGAGAGCGTCGAGTCCTTCGAGAGCTCGACACGACGGCGACGCAGCTTTGGCAGCGGCGGCGATGCCTACGGCAGCCTGGACAGCCGCGACGACTATCGCGAACGGGATCGGGAGCTAAAGACACGATCGCTGCGCAAACCGGCCACGTCGTCCGCTAAGCTGCGCGTCGCCGGCGACATTGACTACGAACAGGACTCGGAGCAGGACTTTCAAAGGCAGCGCAGCCTGCAGCGACCCAGCCAGCTGGGAGGCGACGTGGTGCCAGGCGCACCACAACGCTTGCGCAAGAGCAGCGGCTCCAGTCCCTGGGATGGTGAGGGTAAGTTCACTTGAGGAACTTCAAGCATGCGGCTATTAAAACTTCCCTTTGCAGAGCCCACGCTGCCTGGCCAGAAGTCCTGGAAGCGTCCAGCAAGCGCTGCGGAAACGGAGCGTCGCCTGGCCGAGAGCCGACGTGCCGCGGCGCTGGCGCAGACGCCGTCCGATGGCGAGAAGGATCGCAGGTATGCGGCGCTGACCAAGTGCTATAACTCGATACTTTATACTCGACCCGCTTACAGATTTCGCAAGAAGGCGCGCGCACGCAGCACCAAGGATCTGGCCACCGTGGGCGCACGATATGGCAGTGGGCGTGGCGTGCAACGCGACAATTACGACTACATCAGTTGCCAGCGCAACGATAACGATGACGACGACGACGACGACGAGGACTATGTGGACGATGAGCCGCCCACAGACGAGGATAAATTTGAGCGTCTGAATCGACGTCGCCACGAGATGCATCAGCGCATGCTGGAGAGCGAGCGTCGGCAGCAGGAGCGGCACGCGCCCGCCCTGGCCAAGCTGCCTGGACAGAATCGGACACGCGGCACAGCCGGCGGCGGCGGCGTCAATAGCGACTATGGCTTCGTGGACAGCTATGAGCAAACGCCCACGCCCCGATCGAATGCCAGCAGCACTGCTGTCATGATGAGCGGCGGCGAATCCTCTGCTGGCGTTGGCGGCGTCGGTGGTGGCACCAAATTCAATTTCGACGATGGCTTCGAATCGGACTTCAATCAGAGCTCGCCACCGCCAGCGCCCGCTGGCACCGCGTCCAGCTGCAATTCCACGCCCGCTGGACTCATCTCGGCCAGCAGCACGCTCGGCTCCAAATCGCTGTTTCGCTTCTCCAATGACTTCTCGGAGCGCGAGAAGCTGCAGCAACAGCAGCAGCGGGAGAGCAACTTCGAGCTGGAGGCGGCGCCCAGCTCGACGCCGCCAATAACACAGAAGCTGCGTTTTGACGATAACGTGAAGGTGTCGCAGTTCGATGATGCCGCTTTCGAGGATGACTTTGCCAAGGCCTCCTTCGACTTTGACAAGGAGCAGTCGTCGCCGGCAGCGCCCTCTGCCTCGAGCCGGAAGCAGAACATGCGCAGCAGCAGGCTGCAGCAGCGTCAGGAGCTGATCAAGAAATCGGAATCAGTGAATATATTCGCTAAAAAGCAGGAGGATCCCTTCGAGGATGACGAATTCTTTAAGTCACCCGACGAACCGGTGTTGCCCGGCCAAGAGGACGACGCCAACAGCGCGGATGCCAACAAGTTCCAGTGGAACGAGGACAACAACTTTGCCAAGTTCGATGAAAACATGTGATTTGATCAACTCTTCGAGAAGGCATCCAGCATAGCCAACGCAGAGCAGCCGGAGAGCGACGGCGGCAACTACGCCGAAATCGATGTCATCAACGATGGCGACTTCTACTACTTGACCAATCTGAATCACTACTATCAGGAGCAGCGGCAGCAGGCGCTGTATCAGCTGCGCCAGCATGACTACATCAATGTGCCCCGGATGCAAACCAAAGCCACATCCACCACGAACAGTCCCTGTCACGAGCTCCACAACAACAACAGCAACAAGAACAAGTCCAAGTGCAGGGTCAAGCTAAAGTCGCTGCAGCTGCTGCGCAAGCCGAGCAAATGGAAGCTGAAACGCTCTTTCGATGAGATTGTCAAGTGTCTGATTATAGCCTCATCCGAGCATGTCTACGATTACGATGTCCTTTGGTAGAGTCGTGTCGGCGAGCAAGTCGTATTCCCCCGTCTACTTCTAATCCAATAATTGTCTGTCTGTTTGTCTAGTCAAATTTATTGCCATATACTATATATATATATATATATATATCTCCTAAACAATAGACTGTGATTTTATGTACATTCTGTTTGGTAAAAACGAAAAGCCAGAACGACTTGCTACGACGAGGCTACCCAACGCTAGAGGGCGCTGCATAACATCAACTGCAGTTATTATTAGCTAATAATATGAATTCAAGTCAAGTTTGTATATAGATTGAGAGATTTGCAACTACCCAACAAAACTAACCTAGTTATTTATGCTAAACTTAATTCGATAACAGATAACAGATAACGATTACGATAACAACTACGATAACTTATATGATCCGTTCAATTGAACGTTTGTTACGTATAATATTCGAATCCAAATACTCATCCTCCAAGTAACGAAAGCAACTAATTAATGCCTATGCTAAATGTCGTCTAGCTTAGTATTATTATTATTACTATAACTATTATCATCAAGAACAACTATCCAAAGTGCATACTACATATAAATCGTCTAACATACCATACGAATTGTAACTAGCCTAAAGTGTTTATTATTTAACTACATATAGACATAATACACATAACACTATATTAAAGCGCCTATAACAAGACGAACAACTGAACGAACAACAGGTAACACAGGTAACCAAGCAGCTATCACATATTGAGATATATATACCTACTATACCAGATATTAAATTTATACGATACGAATACAATAGTTAATATTATTATGGTATATTTGTTCTATCAATTAAAGCGTGTACCGAGCATACAAAGCGTATATCTTTTTACTTTTAAATTCTCCTTATGTGCTTGATTAATTAATATTAATTCGCCTAATTATCATATTAATTAATTATTTAAATAATCCAGCTCACATACGAGTAATATCAAAAGCCAAACGCAGCACCAGCTGCAGTCTCAAGCAAATCATTCGCAAAATGCAGCAGAAGGTTGGTAAAAAAGCTAAAATTTGTAAGGCCCGGTTGTTAAGTCTGGATGGATTCGAATGCCCTGTAAGAGTTTGCTAGTTTATAACTTTAAATTTATATTAATCGTTAGCAACTTTAACAAAATCTGCCCTTTATCCTACTAATATTAGCTCAAATATCAAAGTCAGTTCAGTGAAACTAGATCCTGTAAAAGCTGGCTATAACCCAATATAGCTACTGCCGGGACCTTTATATATTTATACATATAAATATATATATATATATATTCGAACCGACCCCGGTTTGAGAAAAAACGTGATGTAACGCGCGGAGATATGATGTTCTAAAACTACATAACTCGACGCGGAGATATGATGTTCGGAAATTTAAAATAAATATGTCGTTTTTGAAGCGTTGGACATGGACAACATTTAATAATGATCGCTATTCATGGTACCTAGTTGACCTATATATCCTTGGTTATTCCATATCATGGATATAGTCCTAGCGAACCTAAAGAACAAAATATGTATATTTTTCTTTCAAGCCCGCCCCTAGCAACAGTCCCGCCCCCTAGATGGTTTCTAGTTGACTAGCATATCCTTGGTTATACCATACCATCGATATAGTCCTTGGGAACCTAAAAAATGCAATGGTCCAACAACATGTATGATTTTTCTTTCAGAAGCCCTCTAACATGAGCTGCAGCTGCAGCTATTGTTTAACAGCCGCCTTAGAGCGCTCATTTTGCATAAACTGCTAATTAACAGTACTCATTTAAATTGAGTTACATTCTTGCCCCTTAACGCTATGCAATGAAAATTTTATTCTAACCACTCGTCGATCTTCTGGGCATTTCTGTTCGCCTGGTATTTGAGTGGAATTTTAGTGCAAATTTGGGGCCCAGTTGGTGACCAGGGTGCCCCGTGCAGGTATGCAATGGAATTTTTCGGCCGCAATAAAATTGCACGTCGACCTTCTGTGCGTTTCTGTTCGCCTGGTATTTTTGGGAAATATTTGTTAAAATTTGGAACCCAGCCGGCAGCAAGGGCGCCCCTTTGGGTATGCAATGAAATTTTATCGGCAACTAAAAACATTTTTTGTCGACCTTCTGTTATGTCGTTATGGAACGTCATATCTCCCCGCGGGGCTATGTCGTTTTAGAACGTCATATTTCCGCGCGGAGTTATGTCGTTTTAGAACGTCATATCTCCCCGCGGGGCTATGTCGTTTTAGAACGTCATATCTCCGCGCGGAGTTATGTCGTTTTAGAGCGTCATATCTCCGCGCGGAGTTATGTCGTTTTAGAACGTCATATCTCCGCGCGGAGTTATGTCGTTTTAAAACGTCATATCTCCCCTCGGAGTTACCTAGGTGTCGACCTTCTGGGCATTTCTGTTCGCCTAGTATTGTAACAGATTTAAAAAAAATCCCGGCAGCCAGCGGTTGCCAACAGACGCCCCTGGCGGGTATGGTATGGATTTCTATAGACCGTTGCTTTTGGAACTTTTAAATAAAAAAAACTGGAATTTTTCTTTTCATTTTATTTAATTCATTTATTTATATATAAATTTATAAAATTATTTTTTATGCTAGCTTTCTTAATTATTTCTCTTAAAATTATACAAATCGAGCACAAATTATAATTTTAACCTTTTGAAACTCAAAATAACTATTTCTGGCTTAATTAAAGTCCGATCCTGGAAAAATCTACTTGTCACTCGTGAAAGTCCTAGGAGCTTATTGTCGTCCTTAATTTGTCAGTCTGAAAAGAGAAAAACTTTTTTTCACTTTTTTTTTTGCAAAATAGAGGTCGGTGCGAAAATCGAAACTTTTTCGATGATTCTTTTCGATTTGGGTCAAAATTTAGATTTTTCTCTTTTTGATGCCAATCGATAGAACTGATTTTTAGGAGCATAAAATAATATTAATCTTCGAAATCGGGCATTATTTGGCCGAGATATTCCAAAAAATCATCAAAAAAGGCTGACTTTACAAACTAATCCAAAAATCGGTCAACAACTTTGTTACCCCTTTGATTATTAATTTGTTTGAATGCTAACTGATAGTTGGGATCAAATTTAGTGAGAATTAAGATAAGAATGCCTTTCGTTAGTTCATATCGTTACGATGCCAAAATGGTATATCATTAAAAAATCTGACATCATGTGGAAGAAAAATTCCAAAAATAAATTAAAAATATGTTGACTTTATCAGAAATTAGCTAAATTTTAGAAAGTTTTTAGAATTCTAAATATTTAGTGCTTTATTACAATATCTGTATATTTTGTTCAGCAAATAATACTTTATGAGCTTGATTTGGTTGTATTTGGTGAAGGTGTCAATTATCACATAAAAATAATTGCATGATTAAATATGTTTGTACCTTCCCATAATTACGGCTTACCAGACACTCTTATAGCCATAGCCATAGTTATAGCTGGGATAGTAGCCATAAGGATAGCTGGAGCTAGCATAGCTGTAGGTGGGATAACCCCCACTGTATTTGTAGTAGGTGTTGGGATAAGGCGTCCAAGCTGGCCAAGCTGCAGCCGTCGTCGGCACATAGAAGCCATTGTAGTTTCGGGCTACAAACTGATGACTCCCAGCCACAGGCACCAGGGCGGGCCCTTGAATGGCGGCTACTCCGGTGCTGGCAGGTATAACGCTGGCCCGGCACAGTCCGCAGGCCAGCAGCAGGCAGCTGATGATAAGCTGTAAACGAGTTAGTTAGTTACATTAAATAAACATTTTTTATAACACTTACCAGCTTCATGTTGTTTGTGTCTGAGAGAGAATGCGAATGTGCTGCTGGCTAGCTGGTCACTGTTCAATTTTGTCGCCTGCCCAGCTAATTATATACCCTGTCATTCGCCTATTTTGCTGCATTTGCTTTTCAAATGCAGCTGCCCGTTTTGGAGGGTTTGCCTTTTTTGGATCGTGCCCATTTGAGCGCTGGAACCAAGTGTGCAGCTCAAGGGCAGCTCATTTGCATTGCTTTAGCTTGGCTCGTTGACGCAAGACGCTTCTTCTGTGGTCGCTGTATATACAAATTATTTTGTCACACTATCTCATCAAATATAAACAATTTCAGGTCAATAGGTACAAGAAATTCAAAAGAAGCACAATTGTATTCTATATTTTTTTTTCTAAAACGGACAAAAATTGGAATATTTGCAAATAGAGTCGGCTCGAATTGTTTGTTATCTCTCGACTTAATAAAGTTTAATTTTTTTACTGATCACTTCTGTCGATTCAATATACAACATATCCAAAACTCAAGAGGTAGCATCAATGTTTTTGTCTAATATAATTTAATTTGGAAAATTAGTGTTACTATTTTTAAAACCGATCGATAGTCGTGATCTGTATAGGTATTAAAAGTCCGCATTTATTTTTAACCCAAGAAACATAATTTGCAAGGCTTAAATTTCACTTGTGTTTCGTTGAAAATTCCGAAGAATATCTATATATATGCCTACTTATATATATATAAATGTATATTCTATCGAGATTCACAAAGTTTTAAATCTGTTTCCAGTGCGGCCAGGTCTTGATCTCGTTGTAGAGCGCCGTGCCGGGGCAGGCGGTTGCCTTGGTCTGTCGATGGCCCAGCAGAGTATAGTCGTTCTTTAGGTGGCCACCCTGTTTGGCCAGTTCGATCAAATCCTTGGCGTTCTGCAGCATCTGTGCCGAGGGCGCGCTGCTCTCAAAGTTGCCCAGAAATACGATGCCAATGCTCTTGCGATTGTAGCCGGGCGCATGGGAGCCCTGCAGTCCAAAGCCGCGACCCTCGTACACCTTGCCATCGCCGGCTACAATGAAATTGTAGCCAATGTCGCTGAAACTGCGTCTGCCCTTGTGATCCGACTGTATGTTCTTAATCAGGCGCTGGCACTGCTGCGACGTCGTGCATCCATTGGGATTATCCGAGTGGTGGATGATCACATATTCCACAGCGCCGTTCACACGTGAGGGAGACCGGGCATTCGCAGCACCCCAACTGCTGCGGGGTTCAATGGTCAAAGCTTGCGTCGTAGCGGGCAGCGCTGTGTTAAAGATTGGGATGATTAGTGCCAGGTTCTATAAGTTGTCTGTTTAGTTGATTAATTACCAAAGGCGCAAAGCGCTGCAATCGCCAGAAACCTGAATGCTGCTGTGTTCATCGCTTGCCGTTTTACTTTTGAGATTTACTCGGCCAAACGAGCTGTTTAAATAGCCCGATAAGGCGGGGCAGTTGCCACTAGATGGTTGGGGTATGCTCATTTGTTTAAACGGTTTCGTAACAATTGTTATAAGCCTTAAGATTTAATCTTTTATATTAAATATCTTGCGCTTAATAAAAGGAGTTTCTGGTTCTCAATGCTGGATACAGTTCAATTTTGAGCACCTATTCAAATGCATCTTCATTGAGCACAGTTTGAACATCAAAACGAAATCTAAGCCTCGCTTTAAAAAGAGTATACAAAATTCAACAATGCTGGAACATATTTATTTTATGCTCTCGGTGATGTACCCGTGGGGGAATCACTTGGCCTTGCTAGTGATAAGACAAAAAACAATTACGTGCATACATAATATATTTCTATATATTTTAACTTTTAGCTACATATATTAAACATTGTCAGTATTTACCCAAGTCCCGTTTACTGTTTGATAGGTTCGCGTTTATGCTTGGCGCGCTTTTCGGGCTTTGGCTTGGCTTCTTTATGCTCCCTTTGAGGCTTCGCGTCGGGCAGAGCTTGGGCGCCCGCCTTGAGTTGCAGCTTCTCCATGAGGGTCAACGGTTTATCAGGATTCTTGTGCACCATCGATTTGCGTGTCAGGCGCAGCTTCTGCAGCTTTTTCTCGGACTTCTGATTCTCTTGACGCAGGCGCAGCTTATCCAAAGCACTCTTGTAAATGTTTGCATGCTCCGCTTCAATGTCCGGCGAAACGGTTATCTCCTCGCCCATCGATTTGCCCACTTCGTAGAGCATTTTTTTGAATTGTGCCTGATCCTTGTCCGTGAGCAGAGTTATGGCTGTGCCTTTGTGGCCAGCGCGCGCCGTGCGGCCCACGCGATGTATGTATGTTTTAATGTGACGTGGCGCCTCGTAGGACACAACAATATCCACATTTGGCACATCAATGCCGCGCGCCAGCGCATCAGAGCAGATCAGGCCATGAATGCTGCCACGCGCGAATTCTGTAAGACGTTGGGCGCGCATTGCCGCTGACATTTTTGCGGAGAGCTCTTCCACCCTGGTGGGCGACCCCCCGAATAATTGCTGGAGCACAAAGGCCAGACGGTTGGCTGTATCGGCGCTGTTGGTAAAGCACAGGAACCGCTTCCAGCCATTTAGTAGGACCATGGCGTACAATGTGAGCGGCTTCAGGCGCATTTCCGTCAGACAGTACTGCTCCGTCAATTCCGCCGGCGTGGTGTACTTTCCAATAAATTGACTGCTCTGCTCTACGCCCTGTTCGGGCTGCTCGGCGTTGCCTAGACCTAACTGTAGAGCTGGCATTGTCAGCACCGTGGTAAACAGTTTCGGCTGAAACAGACGCAAATTCTGCAGCTTTTCGGGATCTTGCGAGAGTGTGGCGGAGAAGAGCAGCTTGTGCGGCTGCTTACCATAGCTGTTGAGCAACTCCTGATAGCAAAGTGGTGCCTGAACACCTGTCAGCAGCTGATCAGTCGTCGTACGCACATGTGTGTCCAAGTGATAGAGCCAGTTCTGGAAGACAGCGTCCATTATGCGATCCGCCTCGTCGATGACCAGAAACTGCAGCGACTTCAGGCAGAAGCCTTTGGTGGCATGCAAATGATCCACTAGACGACCTGAAGGTATAAAATAAGAATTAGGCAGCTATTCATTTGGCAAAGAAAACCGCTTACCTGGCGTAGTGACTACAATGTCCACCTTGGAGTAGTAGACGCCTTTATATTGCTCCAGCAGCTTCTCCTGTTCATCCTCTAGGCGATGCTGCTTGGAGAGCAGGCACACCTCCAGCTCTGTCTTGCTACACAGTGCGTTAAACACCTTGTACACCTGTAGCGCCAACTCAGCAACTGGGAGCACCACCAAAGCGCGCACTTTGCACTGTACGCGCTTGGCCAACAGCTGAACAATGGGTATTGCAAAAGCCAATGTCTTGCCGCTGCCTGTGGGTGCCGAGACGCAGATATCCCGCGGCCGAAATGGCTCCGGCTTGGCCTGTGCCTCCAGTATCCAGGGTATAACTGCGGTTTGGACAGGAAACAGTCGCTTGATCTTCATTTGCTTGAGCACACTGCATGTGTTCTTCTCTAGGTAGGGCAGCTGTTTGATGGATGCCACGTCCGTCTCGGTGGTGGGACTGTCTGCTGGGTCCAGGCTGCCTCCTTCGATGATTGTTGGATGTGCCAGCCAAGCGGGCAAAACCATTTCCACTTTTTGCCGCTTGGCCGCCGACGCATCTGCGCCAAGTACTTGGAAATCATTTGAAACCTCAGTTTCTGTGGGTTCAGCTGGTTGATCTGCCTTTGGCTCTGCTTCAGCATCTGGTTTCTTAGGTGCTGCTTCATCTTTTGCTGGCTGCTCAGCAGCAGGCACTGTCTCTGGTTTTGTTATTGTTGAATCGCTGCTTTTGTGTTTCCTTTTTCGTTTTTCTGCCTTCTGCAGTAGCTTCTGTAAAATTGCATCCTCACTTGTGGCTTCGCCAGTGTCTTTTGTGCCTTTGTTTTGATCCTCGGTATAGCTGTGGGCGTCGAAAATATATATTAATACATGTGTACAATTAATGGTGTGTTCCAATTACCGATTTACTGTAAATAATTCCATTTTTAAAACACAATTTTGTAAAAGCCGCGCACGTGTTGCCAGTTGTTTACGTTTTTACAATGCAAGGCATCGATGCCTTTGTCGATATATTTATAAGAACAGCACTGTCATCGATATTTTGATTGACGTATCGATATATCGTACATGGTAAGCGATTGTAGCGCGCAAATTCGAACAAGAAACAGAACAAAGGGAAAGACACACCTTACTTGCGGTTTAGAACAAGAAATGTTTACACATTTTATTTATAAGGTAACATCTACCTTAATTAACCAATTTATCAACGGAAATACATTCGAAATGAGTCCATATGCAAAACTGCAGGGGATTTTGATTTCCCTTAACCACGGTTGACGTCTTAACTGCGTCGATGCGTGTTCATAACTAACTGCCTCGAGCTCTACGCTCTGTGGATTTTTTACCAATTATGACTCATTTAAGTCAGCCTCCACTCTGATTTGTCTTCACGTGCGTAAAAAACACAAACGTATTTTGCCAATTAAGCAAATGACAATTCGCATAGCGAAACCGGTTAGATGCGTTTGGTAGTATCAGTGAAGACTTGGCTAGGCTAAATTATCATTTATCATTACAGCAGATTTAAAATGAATATTAGAATTCTATGCAAATCAGAGAAATTTTTAATTATTCACATGCTTAAACATACGTTTTGCCACCGAGAGGAAGATTTTGAATTGAAATCAATTTTAGCTTAAAATCTTATTGAAATGCTTTAATAAGACATTAAAGCGACCACAATAAAAAGCCAAGCTCAAAATATATAATACTTTAACAAATTGCGGACATAAAAAAGTCACAAAATATGTTATTTTTAGTAACAACAGAAACAAAATAATATAGTTGCGGTTCATGCGGCTGGACTTGAGCTAATTTGGGGAAAGCCCAGCCGGACGGGTTCTTTGTTTAGCATAGTTTTGCAGCTTCAGGACGGATGATTAATAGACTGTCTACCTTTATTGAATGGTTCGATTTGTTTTGTTCTTGTAAACGAGATAAGAATACTCACGGATACTCCGCTATCTTGGACTAAAGAAAATATGTTGATTGAATTGTTTTCCAGCATGTTTTCTCGCTCACACGCATGCTCCATATCTTTGTTATCATGCCAACTTGTAGGTATCTGCACTTGTTTAAACAGAAATCTGTTTTCGTATGCCTTGAATGAGATAAAAAATAAAAATAATATTTCACCTGAAAAACTGCAACGTTTGTTGGAATAGCATTAAGTACGCTTTGGCTATTCCATATTCAAATCGGGTTTGAAAATCCAGCACTGAATCTTAATTAATTATGCATTAAATATAAACTAATTTATTATTATATTTATATATAATTCCCTTTAAGCGACGGCATGCGAAAATCATGAAAAAACCAGATGATGACAAATTTAAATAATTCCTATGGAAACGTAACGCCCATTGCGTGGAGCGTCATAACGGGGGTTTCTCGCTCATCCCAGCGCGCCGTACTACGACCGGCAAAATTAAACTCGACTAAAAACAATAACAATAACACTAGCAACAACAACACACACCTATACACACAGCAGACAGCAGACGGCAGACACCTGTTGCCGCTGAGCACAACCCGTTCGGAGGTGAGTTTTGACGCTCGTCGTTTTATTTTTTTTTTATCTGTGGGGTTCTCATTGAGCGATCGCAACGCTTTAAAATGCTAGGATATAAAAGCAGCCGCACTCATTTGTAAGCGTTTCGCGTTCGAGCTCAAGACACTCGCGAACAGACGTACAAAAATCGCACGCAAAACGCGCGAAAACTGCCAACAAAAAAGAAGTCAACGATTCAAATCGCTGAAGTTGCTGAAGTTGTGCAAAGTGTCGCCGCAGGATTAAGTTTCGTGTGCAAGGACATAAAGTGACAAAAAGAGTGACAATATTTAGAAAATTATCATATATAGATATATACATCAATTACCATGTGGCAAATGCTTTTGAAGATCACGCTTCTCGCCCTGGCGCTGGAGCAGAGCAGTCGCTGTGCAGCCGCCGCGTAAGTCTATTAACTGAACCATACCTGTTGTCCAAACCAGTTGGGATTATGTCCAAGTGCGCCTTGATCTTGGCTTGATTGGGGATTTGCAGTGAGATCTCAAGCTCAAGCTTACGTGCCAAAATATGCTGTTATGCACACAACATCTCTCAAGTCATAATTGCATTTATATAATATAAATTTCAAAAATTAAAACTTGTCCTCACATTTATTATTATACTCTGTTCGCAAGCCTGAAAGAGTATATTTGTGGCTAGAGACGCTTTTTTACGATATGGTTTGGCATCTATATGTTGCACAGTTTCAGTTCCTTTACGAATCGAATGTATATAGATTTTTGTCTTAAAATGTTCTCAAATTGTACACGAATGCGTAATGTGTAGTCGGTTAGGCCCGACTGTCAGATTTCGACTTGTTTTGAATTGTAAGCAACAAATTAGGAATGACAATGCGCTCGGCTGGTTTCTGATATGAACAATTAGCACCAAATGCCAGTTTAACGTTTAACAGCTCATTGCCAAAGATTGCCCCATCTTGAACCTCACATTAAATACAAAATTTAATATTTATGTAAATTTTTCCTTGATCTTGTTTTAATTCAACAGCACCCTTGGCAGTCCAACGAGCAACGCGCGTCATTTTCCGAATGATTTTCTATGGGGCGTCGGCTCGTCCTCGTATCAGATTGAGGGCGGCTGGAATGCGGACGACAAGGGCGAGTCCATTTGGGATTATATGACACACAAGAATCCCGAGAAGATAGTCGATCAATCCAACGGCGATATCACAGCGGATAGCTATCATCAGGTAAGGCGCCAGTTCCGTGGCACATAAAACTGAATTGCATAACCGGGCAATCGCATCACGGGTCAAGGGTTACACTGTAGCTCCAGTACACGTTGAGGTAATCGAACTGGAATTATTTAGATGGAATGCGAGTTTCCTCGCGGCCCCTTAGCCGACACTTAACTTTCCTCGGTCGCAAGCGCAGCCATTAATTAAACGCATACACTCAATTAATCAGAGCTGAAAATAAAACCCTGTTCGACAATTTAGTCATTGTCAGCACAGCAGCAGCACAGGTGTCTGTTCAGGTGGGTCACCGATTCAGATTTATGTGCAATATACACTACAGAGAGAACTATGCAAATTTTGTAAATGTCTCGCTTGGTGGCCTGCACTTGAATTAACTTTGTCAGCTGCGCGTTTTAGCCTAGTCGAATCATATTTAAAAACTCTGACTAATGGCCACTAATTGTCATGCTTCATTGATAAGTTCTCGCTGATTGCCTGTATCATTGCGCTGTCTTGAAGATTAAGCACTTCAATTGGCTTATGAATTGGTTTCTAATGAATGAACATTGATAACTATTCAAGAAAACTCAGAAAACAGCAGCAGATTGCTGGTTCAAATCTCAGGCTTGTGCTACAGAGAGAGTCGGAAATTGAAATATTGTTTAAATATTTCCCAACTATGTAAGAGTAAAATTGGTAATAAGCAACCTAAATAGTTCATGGAAAATGTCGTTCAGGAAGTTCGATAAGATACTAAAGATAAAAGAAACGAGTAAATTTCAAAGTTCAGTTGTTTAAAACACATTCCCAAATCTTAAAAATACAAATATTTGTTGAAAGAACTTTTGAGCAACAAACAAACTAACAAACCCCGAAAGGATCCTGGTCTTGAGATACTTAGAAGGTCGTTTCATAAATGAGATGCGAAAAGCAACAATGCAAATCCAATTAATTTCCATTGACAATGTCATCGGCAGCATTATGGACCATATTTTAGATCGACTAACTAATATTTAATTGTTGATAAATCGATTTAGCACAAGACATGAATGCGCGATATATGTTATGTTGGCGGAGCTCTCAATGGCGTGGCACAATATGCCAACTAATGCCAGTTTTAAAGCAGGTGTCTCGTTGTGTTTAGTGGTCATTGTCGGCTAACAAATGAATCCAAGCCCGGCCAGCTGAAAGGGGCGACGCCCCCATGTCGCTGCCAACGCAGTGTTGGAGCCCCAGGCCAACTTCTAGCGTGTCGAATTGTTGTCTCAATGCAAGGCACAAAATTAGCCATATAGAAAATAAATTAAAAGTAGATAAAAATAAACAAACAAAACCCGTGACCATGTCGTGGTTTGCATGTGTCGCCAACTGGTTTTTCGGAAAATACCTGACATTCTTGGCCAGCTGAAGGCGACTGCTGCTTAGTCGAACGTTTATTTTTTGGGATTGTTATCTAGAATTGTTGCGTTTCTGCTGTTCCATTGCAGTGGCGACGCGACGTGGAGATGGTGCGGGAGCTGCATGTGACCACATATCGCTTCTCGCTGTCATGGCCCCGGATCATGCCCGGCGGCTACATGAACCAAGTGAGCACCGCCGGCATCAAGTACTACAGCAATCTGATTGACGAGCTGCTCAAATACAATATCACGCCGATGGTGACCATCTATCATTGGGAACTGCCGCAGCGGCTGCAGGAGCTGGGCGGCTGGACCAATCCGGAGATAATACCGCTGTTCAAGGACTATGCGCGTCTGGTGCTCGAGATGTACGGCGATCGCGTCAAGCTGTGGACCACCATCAACGAGCCGTGGCATGTGTGCGAGCACGGCTACGGCGTCGACTACATGGCGCCCTCGTACAACTTCCCGGGCATACCCGCTTACCTGTGCGGGCACAATCTGCTCAAGGCACATGCGGAGGTGGTGCACATGTATCGCGAACATTTCCAGCCGCGTCAGGCTGGTCGCATTGGCATTACGTTGGACACCTCGTGGCCAGAGCCGAGGAATCCGGATTCTGCGGAGGATCGCGAGGCCTCGGACCGGGCCGTGCAGTTCTACGTGGGCTGGTTTGCACATCCCATCTTCTCCAAGCACGGCAACTATCCCAAGATCATGATCGAGCGCATTCGCAATCTCAGCAAGCAGCAGGGATTCGGTGCCCGTTCCCGTCTGCCCGAATTCACCAACGAGGAGATCCATCGCATTCGCGGCACCTCCGATTTCTTTGGCATCAACTCGTACACCAGCAACCTGGTGACTCCGAACGGTCACAACAACACCGGCAAGTTTCCCGTACCCTCGTTCAATCACGACATGGGCGTTGTCGAGAGTCAAGCTGGCGTGGACTGGCCCGGCTCGGGCTCTTTCTGGCTCAAGGTAAGTCACCTGCGCTAACTATAAATAATACAAACCGCAATTAAGTGGCCAGCAGATGGTTGTCCGGGGGCGGACTCGCTAATCAGCTGGGATGAGCTAATACTCGAATGGGCTGGACGCCATAATTGAGGGTGGGGCAAGCCACAAGATGCTTTCCACAATTTAATTTGTGCCGTGAATGAATGAATAATGACAAGGTGTTGCAGCCAGAGGGTGGCCATCAACTACTTAGCCAAGATTAAAATGGGGGTGACTCGAGCTCGAGCGTTGGGCTCGAGGGTTGCGCCCCTTTTGGGTTGAATGAACCCCAAACAGATTTCCCATGATGCTTAACTCACACACATCTCCCCTCCTCTCTCTCTCTCTCTCTCTCTCTCTCCTTGATACAGGTCTATCCCAAGGGCATGTACAACCTGCTCATGTGGATACATCGCGAGTACAACGGACCCGAGATCATTGTAACGGAGAACGGCGTCAGCGATCGTGGCGGCTTGGAGGATTACGCCCGTGTCGACTACCATAATCTCTATTTGTCCGCCGTGCTGGATGCCATCGAGGATGGGGCCAATGTCAGCGGCTACATTGCCTGGAGCCTGATGGACAGCTACGAGTGGAAGGCGGGCTACACGGAAAAGTTCGGTCTCTATCATGTAGACTTCAGTGCGCCGAATCGCACACGCACGCCCAAGATTTCGGCGCGCGTCTTCGCCAACATCTGCAAGACGAACGCCATCGACTGGAGCTATCGACCTGCGCTGGACGAGCACCAGCTGGTGGTCGCCGCCCGTCTGCCCGCGCTGGAGACGGAGGCGGCAGCAAACGCGGCTGCGACATTCAGCTGGAGTCTGGCACTTCTGCTGGGCGTCGTCCTTGCGTGGCACTCCTAGAGAATGCCGCTCCTTGCCATATGAAACGACTTAAGCGCTCTTTCCACATATTGTTGCAAAGTATTTTTAGACATAGCATCTAGGTTTCCTTAGACGGAATGTATTGTATATTGTGTATATATATTTCTAAAAACTATTTAAGAAAACAACTCAAAATGAATAAACAATTGTTGTGATATTTGAAAATTAACTGCAATGCCTTTTAATGTATTTAGCTGTTATTTGAAAGGTTTTCTCGATTTAATCCAAATGGAAGAAACAGACCTATGCGTACGCAGGGGCTACTCCATCTGGTAACCAGGAGTTTGTATGGATGCAGCCGGCTGGACGTAAAATAATATTATCAGAAGGAATCGATATGCTCTTTCAAATAAGGGCACAAAGTACTTAGAGACAGAGTGAGAGAGAGAAATCTAAAAGATCCAAGAATAAAAGACAGAATCCACCGGTATACTGCCAGATAATATGAGCTCATAAAATGGTTTCCATGCAAGAACTTACTTTACGACCGATCGTTCCTATAGCAGCTATATGATATAGATATAGTCCGATCCGGCAACAGAACGACGGACCTTTAAAACTGATAGACTACATACAGTAATACATGGCTTTATCAAGTCAGCTGTTGATGCCGATCTAGACTATATAAAATTATATACTTTATGAAGCGTTATAAGCATTATACATTTCATGACAAAGTTAGATTACCCTCTACAAGATTATAGAAACGATTTTGGAATGGGAAATAAACAATTGAAATAGAAGAGAATAAAGATTTTGTTTTAGCTTACAAAGCAATTATTGAAATGAAGAAGCAACGGAAGACTGGGTTTTTACGTAAAGTGTATAAAAAGTATTAAAAAAAAAAGTAAAAAATAAATAAAAGTCCAGACAAAACAGCTACAAATGCTAGATATTTGTTATAATAATAGCGTCGAGCTTGTGCCTTTATGACTTTAGAATGGTTTAACTTATTTAAAAAGAGAGAAGCGTTTCGCTGTTTGAGTTAATTTGAAAGTGCCCAGAACGCTGGCTGCTGGAATATTCAAGGACGGGCTGTTTGTTCTGTAGAATAATAATATAAAACACGTTCAGGTGCGTTTGTGTGGCTAATCGGTTGTTAACAAGTTAAGAGCTCGGCGCGAAGTCACGGCCACATCAAGATTATTTGCTGGGAGGGTTGTTCCAGTTGATCCGATTAACTTTTACATATCAAAAGTCAAAGACATTTTACACTGGCCCATTAAGCATAGAAACCAAATGTCTCGAACTGTTTCCGCAACAAATCAAAAATCAGCGTCACAAACAGAAACAGAAAATTGGCCAGCCTTTTGTCTGGGGGACTAACAAAAAGGCCACGTTTCGTTGAGCATTTTCTAATGGGCATAAGCTATTAGCTATTATCCACAGCACAATGCGCCCCGATGATAGCCGATCAGCAGATCAGTCCGTGTTTATGCAATGGCCCCGGCTCCATAGATCAAAGCTGGGGACCAGCTGTTTCTGTCTGATTCTCAGGCATTTCAATAATTTAATTGTAGGGGTGGTTAGCTTCCAAGCATGAACCTGAATATGCTTATAATAAAACACACATTTTAGCAAATGATTATATTTAAATCTCTGTGCTTATGCATATGAGGGCATATTGTCTAAACGATCCCAAGCCCAAGTTCTCGGCCCCAGTTCTGGGCTAGTTCCTCGTATCATTTCATATGTCACATCCGCTTGTAGCAGCAGTCAACAAATCAACAGATTTTGCTTTCAATATACGATTAAAGCATTATTTGCTTTTGTTCTTGTTGTTCTCGTTGTTGTTGTTGTTCTCGTTGTTGTTGTTGTTGTTGTTGTGTTTGTTCCTAGTTGACTTTCAAAGCATTTCAAGTGACCAGAAATAGAATCAAAGTTCGAGACGGAACCAGAACCAGTTGCCTTTCATTTGGGCAGCGCCTACAGCATTTTAACTTATTATACCCTCTCCACAATATTGAAAAGGGTATTTTGGTTCCGGCAAACAAAATGTCAAATAGATATTTTTCTGAATTAGGTTTACGAATGATACAAAATAGTTACCAAATACCCCTCAAGATAACAAAACATTTCAAAACCCAGCCTCGATTTATAAGGCTTTTATCTAAGCATATTTGGTAAATGACAATATAAGGCAAAGACTATATCTAGCCCGCATCTTGTATATGAAAATATTCACATCTTGCTATATTTTCAAAGGGAACAAAGGGCAATTGTGAATAAAAAATTGAATATGATAAGTCAAAATGTAAAGCAAATCCTGGGTTCAGGGTTTTTGCAAACTAGGTACACGAACCGAACCTGGGAGCTGAAAAAAGCTACCGAAAATTTATTGAACTTGGAGCCCTGGCAATCGCACTGATAATAGAGTGTTGTGCAGTCGGTAACAGCCGAGCACAGCATTCCCAGTTGAATTTTATTAGCATTTACTTGGATTTATTGTTTTGGCGTTTAAGTCACACGAAAAGCTTGCCATAAATTATATATATGTATATATATGACTGAAACTGAAAACTAGGAAAACCGCACAGCCACAGCCCCAGGGGGGAGCCCAGGGAAAGGGGCTGGCAAAGGTCTCTCCAGTCTCGAGCTCAGCTGCACCTGTTGGCACGAGAGTCACGAGCGAGAGGCGCCTGCCGGCAACAAATCTAAGTAGATACAAGTATATATAAATGAGATACACGCTCGGAGTCTGGAGCATTGTTCGTCTGAAGTGTTTACAGGTAACGCCGGGCATGGGTGTTGTACAACGGGGGGAGGGCGAGCTACTAATTAAGATAAATGATGCACAAGTGAGAGCTACGAGCAATAAGAATCAAGAATGATTGCAGCACGAGTCACAGAGCTGAAGCTACAAGAGATAAACTCATCTCACTTAAAGACATTTCTTGTCGAATAACTGGCGACATAAATGATAAGAATTATTGGCCAAAGTCAGAGTATCTCATTTTCTTTATCTCTTATCAGCTGCCCAATAACAAGCTGTCTCAAAACTTGTTTTAATTAAATGCATTGTGCACCAGCAGAACCCCTGCTGGAGCGACGCTCCTGCTGCCTGCTCTTACGTCAGCTCTCAGCTACAATGGGGGGTTGCTGGACCCTAGCTGAAGTGCAGCACTAAAAATTATTAAAACAAATGCACAAACCACAACACAAACAAAACAGGGAAAGCGCACGAACAAGATGAGACGAGTTGCAAGTTGCAAAGTTTTGCGGCTGATGAAATTTTACAAGTGCATTACATCAGCTTTCATGTCGAAAAAGATTTTGCAGCACGAACTTCTCGAGGGGAAACGAGGCACAGAATGCATAATTCTGATGCCTAGCTGGCTGTTTATTCAAAGGGCATTACGCTAATTTATAAAATGAATTTTTGGCTCCAGTTTAAGTCCTTAACATCAGCCGGATGTTATTTTTAAACTTGCCTGTTAATGTACTATATTGCCATGTTAAGCGGCTGTTAGCTAACATAACATTATCTGTGCGCATAAAAGTATGCATCAAAAATTTACATTTGAATTATTTCCAAAGCACGCTCTAAAAATATGCCGCACAAATATTGTAAATCAATTTGAACTAGCCTTAAAAATACTTAATTTAAGAATATATATATAACCAATATCTTCCTTCTGCTTCGGAAATCCTTGAAAACCAACACTAAGCACGAGCGGATTGATCCTGCGGTTGGGGCTGTTAACCCATCAACCAGGTCAGCAGCTGCTTTCCAGTCACGTGCTCAGCTCGTGGCTGATTCGCAGCTTGCTGAGCCATTTATCAAACATTTATAGACCTCATTGCACTTATTGAAAATTAATACGGATTAGGTGCCACAATAGTGCAAGAATCAGCACACATGCCGAATGCAACCACCCGCTACGCCCTCGACAAGCCACATCAACAAGCATCAGACTAATCCTGCGAACAAGGCATTTGAGCACTAGTCCCACATCTGCCTGTTCGGAACGTGCTGAGAGCTGAGAAAAACTAATGAAACCAATAAACGAAAAGGATTAAATAACAGCCAAATGTTCAACTGCAGCAAGGGAAACTGCTGTCAGATTCTTTAAATATAGAAAAATGGTTTTTCAATGCCAACAAATAGTAATATAATAATAACAATGTGTACACTGATTGCGCCTGTGCCTAATTTGATTAACATTTACACCCAAAATGCAATCAGAGAGAGAGAGAGCTTCCATGTCGATGCGGGCACATGTAAAAATCTATCTATTATATGTAGCATTGATTAACCCTTTATCAATAGTCAATCAAACAGTTAATTGCGCAATTTTCCACACCCGAAATCCAATAAAGCACTTACAGCTGTGAACACTTTGGCGCTGATTGAAATAGTATTCAGATCGCTTCGGAAGTGTTGCCCCCATATGACTGACAAAATTGTCCCGCTCTGCCATGCCAAGCCCCCGTCCAGCTTCCACCCTCCAGCCGCCCATCCATGTACGAGAAGATTACATTAAAGCACTTACGTACCAGCACCCTCTGTGGATATAATTTTCGCCGATAAGCAGCCATAAAGTATCTTTGGGCTGTGCTTTTGTGGTCTCGTTAAATGCTATCCATGTCAATGGAGCTCTGAAGCTGTCCCCCCAGACAGTTAGTAATTGGCGTGGACAACCAGCGCTTGGGAGCTTGCTATAGACTCATGTGAGCATAAAAGATATCCATGAAAATACTCGGCATATAAATTGCTTTTGTCGTTAATCTGATGCGAACTTTGCCCCGAGCATGGGAAATGCTGTAATCTACACATGATTTCTAAGCCAAACTGGTTAACAGATCCTTGAGTGAGGAAAACAGAGAGAAATGGAGGGAAGGAACAGGAAACTCTATGGAACAATCGGCGTCATAAATTATCAGCGCAGGCAACGCTGCGATTGTAAGAAAACGGTGCTAAGGGTGGTTCGTAATAGGGCCAAGAACGTGCCAAGCTCCTCGGACAGCTGGAAAGTTAACTAGGGATTCTTGAGCGGGTTCAATGCACCCAATCTGTGCAGAACTGTGTCGCACGGCCTAATGACAAGCCAATTATCCACAAGCACAAGACGTGGGCCGCGGCGCGGATTGATTGCGCAACAAATTGCACAAACGAGCTGCTGTTGTCACCCCTTTACGGGCACAGCCATGGGCCTGGACAGTGACAGACCAGGAGACAGACCTGGTGAGATGTGCTGCGACTGCAACTGTACCAAATTTGGCCAAGCAACAAAATGGGAAGACAGAAACCAAAAAAAGAAAAAAAAAAACAACCACCAATTGATGTGAGGCTACGACTGTGGCGCCTGCGCAGCTGTTCCGGATCTCGGTCGTGTGCGGGGAGGCGGCGGAGCGGCGTTTGGACAACGTCGCGCGCCGCTTTGTCTGAAATTTCACGCAATGCTGTGCGAGTGTGTGTGTGAGTGTGTGTATCTGTGTGTGTAACTGCCTATTGATCGATCGACTCGATATCGCACTTTTATTGCTGTTTGTCACTGCAAATGCGCCACCATTCCATGGAATCCGTGAATGTGCCCGGGGCACTGCCGCCTGCTTAGGGGTTGCTTTTGTTTTTGTTGCTGTTGTTGTTGTTGTTGCATGCAGTGCAGTTGCAGTTTTTGCGTGCAAGGGTAGCTTTCCATTTCAACCCTTAGCATTTGGGAATGCCTTAAATGCTCCCGGGATTGAGTTTCGGCTATCGGATTCGGTTTGGCGTAGGGTGAACGAGGGGATTTTCCATTTGATGCGCATCTTCGTCACAAATATATTTCCATTATTTGTATATTTTGATGGCACGAAACTCAAGTTCATTGATTTTTGCATGTTTTCGCCTTTTGTTTTTTTGTTTTTATAGCTCATCTGGAGTTTGTTGTACAGATTTATTGGCTCAGGAGTGTATTAGGCGTTCGCGTTTCCGGAGGGATGCAAGAACTCTAACTAAATCTTGATATAACTGAATCGATTTACATACGGAATCAATATTTATGTTTTTCTATGAACCGAACTCTAGAACTCTATCAAAAACGACAGCAATGCATAGTCTAAGACTTATTTTGAACAAAATAAAATCTAGCCCGCAATTTCTTTTTGAAAATATTTACCTAATCCAATATTTTCAGTAGAACGGGCCTTTTAAAATTTGAATTGAGATTTGTTATAAAAAAGCTTCGTATCAAAACATGAAGTTGGTTAAAGCCGTGAACCGAATACATCAATATCGGAAAGGTTTAGCAGACATATGAAAGATTAAACTTGGAGCAATTAATTCCACGTTTAAATCTCGATCAGCAACAACTTAATTACATCTAATGAACTATCTGTTAATGTTATTTACCAAACATAGTAAAAACAATTTCCTAGTTAGCCTATCTCGACTCTTGCTGCATCATCTAACTAGTTTCCAATAGCTGCCCTTTGCCTCTATTGTCGGGCAAACACAATGTTCGTTTAGTTTAACGATCGCACATTTGTCCAGCTACCATGTCAGGGCCATTATCTTGCTCCTGCGATCTCTCGTGCTGCCACTGGACAAACTGGGACTCCCGTCTCGAGCTCGTATCGGTTAATTGTTTTCCATTTATTTGCTGGGCATTTATATGGCCAGTCGCCGCCCACTGGGCCCAACGCAGACTCTGGTGTTAATTTATAGCGCCTCAGGTAGGAGTGCGCTCCATGTTCGCACGGCATATAGTACATCCAAATGATATATCGCCCGAGCAGCCAACATATCACACTTGCCAGCTGCCGGCTGCGAAGAGAGAGAGAGAGAGGCCCAGCTCGGAGCTGGCCAACCCATTGTCGTCATTGTAGTCACATTATTAGACGCGCATCGTTGACCAAATTAATTGTCGCCCAGCTCGTTTGGCTCATTGAACAGCGGCGGCGTCGTTTGCGGGGGCGGCGGCAGCTAATGCAACTGCAACAGCAACTGCTGTGTCCACGGCTGTGCCTCATAATGATCGTTATGTGGTCGTTAATGTGAGCTGGAAGCGATTTGTGTCGGGCGTGATCTATGGGCTCGCCTGGCATTCAAATGTTGTGTAGAACTAGTTGACTGACAAGACTAAACCTGGTCTGACATGGTACATGGTTCTGGCCTAACGCGTTCAAGGGTTTCACAATTTTATAGCCGGAAGTTCTAATTGTTGTCGTTGAGGCTTGATTCGGCTACAGAGCTAGGTATTTGTGTGCCAGGGCTACAAGCTCTTCAAACTATTTCCATGGGATCGACATATTTCTATTCGGTTCAAGTATATGTTTAGCTTTTCCTTATTCGTCGCATTAAATCTATATCATGTGGTTCTTAATAAATAAAATATAGAAATGATTCAGCCTGGATGCTTCTAATGCATGAGTCATATATGAATTTGTTGTGGCTTACCTGCATGCAGCAACTGCAGCGCTGTGCGCTGAGAGTTCTGGCCGGGAGAGCTTGGGCGCCCTCTCTCTCTCTCTGCTGCCCATCCATGCCTGGAAGCCGGCCGGCAGCTTGTCCAGGCAAACAAACATTCCAAGGATCGACAACCTGCAGCGGGCGCTCGCTCAACTGTTTGCTTTTGGGGTGGCACAAGCTATTGATTTTTAGTGGCATGCCACGTCCCGCGGCCATTGAGCCATTGGGGTAGTCTCAAGTTCGTCTGCCAATTATTTGCCGCTTATTAGTGACGGCGCCGGAGCTGCAGTTCGTCTCGGATTTGGTCCGTTTTGTGTGCTGGTGGTGTTGGCCGCACGTGACTTCTTGCGTCTCGGGCGGTCGCTTTGTTTGCATTTGCATAAGTGGGCTGCTCCTGGTCTGCGTCCTGCTCGACGATGCTGACTTTGACATGCAACACAAACTCAAGTGTCGCCCTAATGCTTGGCCATTACGCTGAAGTGAGGACGCCCGGACGCAACTGCATTGAAAATACCCTCCATGTGTGTGTGTGTGTGTGTGTGTGTGTGCAGCCACCCCCAAAGTAAATCAGTGCCACCCCGTCAGGGGGTGCTGACCAGGCGCTGTTTAAGCTGTTTTGTGTGCCAAGCGGTATGGGCAAACAGTGGGCAGCCAAACCGGTTTCTAATCCTTTCAGCGCATGCAAATGCAAACAAGAATCGCAAACGCAAATGTTTCCCCTATTTGCGTGGTCAGCGAAAACTTTAGCAACAAAAAAGGGTTGAAAAACTGGACATGGTCGGACTTGATGTTGTTATTGCAGCGACCACTTTTCACAATTCCTATTAAATTGTTCAAAATTCGTATGTATTTTCTATTATTTGGCAGCAATGCAACACTGGTACGATCAAGAAGAAGATATTATAATGATTTGCATGCCAAACACACACACACACGCGCGCACGCACGCACACACATGTGTCTATACGCGCGCTCACTCTCTCGCCATCTCGCTCGCTCGCTTGCAGTGCCTGTCGTTTTTGCGCCTGTTCTTTTGCGTCTTCGTTTTATTCGTTTTGTGGTTGGCGTCGCTGCAAGTTCAGTTTTTTCGCGTCGCGGGGCAAGTGCGCAATTGAATTGTTTTGCATTGAAATTCGTTGAAATAAATACACATAAATATAATACGCGTGGTGTTGTTCTTATAAGCATCGGGGCTTAAATCAATAAATTTTATATTCGCATATGCTGATCAGCATGTGAATGTGTGCATTAGTGTGCTTGTGTTGGTGTTAAAAGAAGAAAAGAAAGCAAGAGCGATTCAGTGTTGAGCAGCACAGGTATGTCAACAAGTAGCCAATTAGAATCCAATTGCTACAAGAATCGATGCTTTGCTAGGCAAAGATCATTCGTCAAACATATGGCAATAATTCCCTTAGTCAAAGCTCCAAATCAATCGAATCATTTGCAATTACATAAATACAATACACAGTAAAGGCTGCCATTGCATCAATAGAAATGGCAAACAAAAGGCAAACTGCCAGCTCTCTGACGATACCAATATCTACTTCCCCCCACACAGCTCCTGCGCAAAAACAGGAACGGCAGCAGTGCTGGGTAAATGGGTGGGGATAACAAACAATTGTGCACACCCCAGTCGAGGGCTTCTGTCTTACTTCACGCTTCCATGGGCAGCAGTTAAAGCGAATGGCAGCGCCAGAAATCGCATGTATTATCCTCGTAGCAACAACAAAAACAAAGGGCAAACATTTTTCGCTTTGTTCAAGACCAAAAAGAAAGGCCACAATGCTTGGCCAGCGACATGTGCAGAGCTCATCAGGCTATGGCAATTTCGGGCGCCCGCCTGCTGCTCCCACGGGGATGCAATGACAATGCCGCTGACAACGACAATAACAGCTCAATACGCTGCGCTGGGGTCTCCAAAACAACAAGAGCGAAAAGTTTGGCAATGAAAAATGTTTGTCAAAATCAAATTTACAAGTTGGGCTGCCCCATTTTTTTTTTTGCGCTCGACTCGACCATTATTGAATGTTTTGTATGTTATTGCACTCTAATGGGTTGCAGTTTTTTCTCCCTACTTTTTGATTGCATAACTTACAACTCCCCAAAGTACCGTTAGTCGTCTTAGTGGGCGGTCTTGCGCGCGCTCTTTTAGATCTTTGCTAACCCCTGGAAACCCTGGCAGCCCTGGCACGGCGTGGCGCATTTATGAGTCGAACTATGTTGCGTTTGTTTGTAATTTAATGAAGTTAGTTACAGCATAGCTGGCAGTAAATTTCATTACCTGGCAACTTTCCTGGTAAGCAACAAATGAACTCTTCCGAGAATCAAATTTCATGCGCACTTTGGTAACCCCCACTGGAGCTGGACGCGGACCCACAGCCGGAGTCGGAGCTGGAGTTGGAGTTGGGCCAACGCTGACGAGCGAAAACTTCAACACAGAGCTGGCAAATGGACAGACAACTCATTGTTGTACAATATTTTATTGTGTTTTTTCGTCGTTGTTGTTGTTGCCCCTAGTTTTTTGTTATGTTCTTTTCCTGTGTTTCTTTTTTTTGTTTTTTTAATGCTGCCTGCCTCTATCATTGCAATTCATTGCAGTTGGAAGTGGATGCACTCAAGCGGCGCAGCTGTTGCGCTCTCCCGAGCTTATGACTGGGGCCACATCTTTCCATCTTTGGGCTGATATCAGCTGGCGGTGCAAGTTAATTGTTAAGTGCAGTTGGAAGCTGTTTTTTTGTGTCTTGTTGAAAGATTAGAGAAGACAAACTTAATGAAGTTTTATGCGTTTCTAATGTGCAGCCAATTTGCTTTCGATGATATTTCAATTGTGCTGCTAGACAGACCACAAATTGAATGGGCCTCAATTGCATGATGAACTACTTACAAACTCTTAAATGGCAGTTCTTCAGCCTAGCCTCATCTTCGCTTAACTCTTGGCGAGCCGCACGCACAGGCTAATCAAATGTCGCCAATTGGGCTGGATGTCAAGTGCATGGCACTCAATTTGACGACCCGTTCCCATTGTCGCTAACTATTTTTACACACACTCATCACATTATTATCATATGCACAACGATAGCTCTTCATGTTCGTGTCGGGTTGGCCAACTGTCGCATAAATTGACCAGCGCAGCTCGCGTGTCACTTTGTCAACTCCTCAGCTCAGCTTAACATTATTTAATTACGAGAGCAACAAATGCGGCAACAGCGGCAACAACAACAACCGCGACAAGAACACTTCGTGTCATAAAAAATTATTTTACGCGCGCTCTGCTAGAAGAAGACAGCAGCGAGGGGGGGCAATGCTCGGGCGAACGTAGCTTTAACTTTAACTGGTTTTAGTTTGTTGTTGCTTTTAGATACCCTGCAAATGGATATTAAGATATATAAGGTATAAGAGGCAGAATATACACATACATAGTTGTAGCGTCTTTATCTTTTTTTAAACCTTTTTGACATTTATAGAAGGAAGCGAGAATTGCTGGGCTTAGGGTATCTCCCAGTCGGGCACTTCAAACTAGAGCACTCTTGCATTTCTTGTTGTTGTTGTGGCTCTCGTCGCAGAGCACCAATTTGCAACATTATAATTTCGCTTTGAATTACACACACACGCACACACACACACACACACGCTGCACACAACAGCTGAAACGAGAACAGTTCATTGAACTTGGAAAAGCAAATGCAACTACAACAGCAACAATCAAAAAATGCCAAAGCACAATCATTAGGAGCTTGCATAAAGCAAGCGATTATTTTTACACTTATTAAATTTTAGCACACTGCAACAGCAAAGTACATCATAATCATCATCATCAGCAGATACACATATGCATAGATCGAACAGCAGCTGCAGCTCCAGTCAGTCTCCGCTCCATCACACTTGAGATCAGCAGCTGTCAGAGATGGACCATTTAGTCACAGCATAAGGCCAAATCGATTTTTGATCAATAAGGCAAAGCATCGCATTTGTCAACACTATAAAAATCAGATTATAGTACAGTTACTAGAGATTAACGGTATAATGGTTGTAAGCTATATACGTCACTGGAACATTTTTAAACACTGTACGATATAGCTGAAAGATTATTCAACACTAGACGAATCGATCCGCTTAAAGATCAGTCGCTAAAGAACAGCATAATTTCACAGTATGCTTAAGCATCGATAACTAGTCGTGATAATCACAGCTGGAGCATTTTTCAACACTGTCAGAGTCACTGCATCGATCCAGCCAGTACACAAGCAAATCACATTCGATTGCTCAGCTCTGTCGGAGCGTAAAGTGAGCGCCTTTTGCTACACTGTTTATGCGTCCATCCGTTCGCTTGTCCAGTAGTGCCCGGCAGCTATTTTACACGCCATTGAGTTACAAATGGGCGCTCCTATGTTCGATCTTGACTGCTGCTCTGCTACTTGGCGGCATGTGTTGAGTTTCTGGTTCATGCTGCCCCCAAGTGCACTGTGTGCCTTTCCTGCCTTGCTCCAGCTGCAGCAGCCCAAACACGTCTCTATCAATTCGGATCGCAAATCTGCAGCTTTCTTGGGATTTTATTTGCGCTCTGCTGAGCGTTGTTTCTTCTATTGATTGTGGATTAAGGCAGACGCGGCACAGCACAGTTCCTGCTGCCTGCCGCTTGCCTCTTGCTACTTGCACCATGTTGTCTATTGTGGCTCGTTTCCTGCTGCCGCTTTGTTCGTTGCCTGGCTGTGGCTCCCCGTGTGTCTGGCCTCGTTTTGCACGTCTGCGCTTCCTTTCACAGGGAGCTGGCAACAACATCATTACCTGTGGGCTAGACCAACAACAGCAACCACAAAAAAAGTGAACCATTTTTCAGCACTGGCACAACCGTTGCAGCTGGAAGCTTCAATGCTCTCCCGGAGTTCATTCAACTGGCGCCGCCTGTTGAGATATTCGCATCGCCTTCGTTTTTTTTTTTCGTATACTCTTACAGAGGGCATTTCTATTTTTTCCCGGAAGGGGATATCTCTAATATCATAGAACATATATATGACCAGTAACAAGAGCCGATTCTGTATATGTCTCATCATCCGCTTCTAGGCAAACAAGTTGTCCATTATCCGAGTCAAGCTCTAGTCCAAAGTTTAGTTGCATCTGAAGGTAACTTATACCTAAATCTTACAAGCCTTATTCAGCTCTGACTTGGACTGATATATCTTTTAGTATATAGTTACAAACAGTCAAGATAGTGTACATTTTTTCTTCACTTTGTATCTATCCTGATCGGACTTTTATATCATATCCCTTATGTCTGTTCTAGGCAAGGGTATTTTGCCTTCGGCGTGCATCAGTTAAGCTCTTTTTTCGTTTTTTATTTCGCCAGTTGCTTTGCTTCCTAGTTGAAAGTTTGTTGACAACCACGAAGGCAAAGTAAGGGTGCTCCAGTTGATGGATGCAGTTCTTGTTGTTGTGGTTGTTGTTGTTCTTGTTGTGGATAATCCAGCATTAAAAAGTTGCCTGGCGGGTTTTTTCACATTTGGGCCTACAGGCAGCCCCAGTTGCAGCCTCCGCCCCCGCCTGGGGTGAAAATCGTGAGTTTGCGCTGAACTGAAAATGTGCCACGTTGCACTTGTTCGGAGCTGAGGGAATTGCCAATGGAGAAGATATTGCTAAAGTGCTCTCGCGTTTACCGTTGCCCGCAGATAATTTAGTTTGTGGCCCAAACCAAAAAAAAAAAAAAAACAAAAAAGAAAAGCAAACTGTGAAAATGGCCCCGAAGTGGCATAAACAAGCGCTGCGCCTCGCTCTGGGCTCACAGAACGCCGCCTAAGATGGGCAATGGACCGGGGACTGGGACGTAGCCGGGACTGGAACTGGGACTGGGACTGGGACTGGTCTATGACTGCTGCCTGCTGATGGTGCTTATGGTTTATGTAATGGCCAGGCTGGAAACGTGCACGGCCTGCAACATTAAAGCGTGGAAATGCAGCCCGACTGCTCCATTGTTATTGCTGCTGTTGCAGTTGCAGTTCGTTGTCGTTGTTGTGGAAAATGCAATTAAATAGCTCGTTGGGCCGGGACGTGGTATAAATATTATCAGCACCTCCGCCATCAGCTTGGTTCAGTCAATCAATTAGAGGCATATCGCAGCGAATGTTATAATTGAAATACCAAATACCAGATGCCAGATGCCAACTCCTCGGGCATCTGACCATGGCCTTAAGGCCTGCAGGCGCAGTGCAATTACACGTTGTAGAATTCATCCATTTTCCACATGAAGAGCACTGTGCAGGCATCCCAAATGTTTTAATCCTGTGCTTCCAGTTAATCACAAGCTGCCCGGATCTGGGCCTGTCTCTGTAATGACGCACTCAAAGTTCAAAGCCCTCCAGCTCTCAGATTTGTTAAGCTGTCATTTGAAAGCGCCACAAAGTCTCTTTATCAATTGCCCGGGGGACTCTGCATCTATGCCCGGGTCGTTCCTTTCATCATCCTTGCAATTTTCGTGTTGCCACAAATTAACAAATTTTCTGGCCATCTTCTTGGTTCTAAATAGAACCCACGCCACATTGTGCGGCCGGCACGCTTTTCATAATTCATATTTTGCCAGCTCTCGTTTTATATGTAAGCAGCTCTTCTTGTTTCGCATGAACGCATCATATAACGCAAAGTTCTGTAAGAGAAATCACGTAAAATTGTTTGAGCTGGCTTTGATGTACTAGAGAATACCCTAGTTCTTGCAGATATCCTTCTTGATCAGACAGATATTTATCCTCTACCAAAAGTCGTCTGAAATAATAAAGCAAACTTTCAGATTGCCCAATCCTTAACTTTTGGGTGTAAAAAATGTTCTTCCTTTTTGTTTGAGCTATTAAAATATAATTCAAAAAACGTTTTATTTATATATAACTTAAAAATCAAACACTTTATGGTAAAACCTATGATTATTCGGTTTTAGTCGAATAATAAATAATTTTGCTATTTGGATAAGATTTACGCAAATCTCGATCTACGATCGAACTGCAAGCAATGCCTGCTTCGCTTTTTACAGGGTATACAAATAAAGTACACAACAAAATCTGCGTACGCAATAAATTTATTTACAATTCATGCACTCGCGTTTCCCTGCTGCGACTCCGGCCCATATATCATGATGGTTTTTCATGGCCTGACTCTAATTTGCATATTCATGAAATCTGACACCCCCACTCAATGCCGGGCGGCTGGCTGAGAAATTTGAATTTAAATTTGAATTTTTATACAATTTTTTGCCTGGGCACCCGCCACTTGCGTCTGCCATTTGCCACTTGCCACATGCAGGCCGAGACGAGCCGGGCCGGGCTGGGCCTGGCCGGGCACGTGCTGTGCTAGCTCATAATGACGTCATTAGAGTGGGCTACCTAACTGAAGCGCAATAATAATCCTCACGGCGTTCCGCACGATCATTAATCTGGCCCAGAGTCGACCGAGTCGCCCCTCCGCGTTCCCCACTGCGATGCGATCTTTGACATTTTTATACATTGCCCATTTTAGCATGTGCAATTTTTTCAAGCAATTTATCCTAATGGAAAGTCCAACCAATGTGGCGCGATCAGATTTCGCCCCTGAACATGACCGTCGGTTATTGGTGCCTGAATTATGAGCCCCGCCGCCAACTTCCAACTGGCAACTGGCAGCGAAAAGCATTAGCCATAGCTGGAGTCGGAGCCGCAGCCAGGCAGATGCAAAGATTAGTCGCTAGAAAAATTGTTAATGTTCGTTTCGGTACGGGCAAATAAATTTGTTTCACTTGCGGGCGAGGAGGGGATATAGAGGAGGGGGGATATTTGGCTACAAGAAAAAGTCGTGAAAACTGTTTGGCCGGGTAATTGCTGATAATGCCAGGATCGAGGCAAATTGACTTCCAGCTGACCCACAATCTGAACTTGAAATTTACTTCAATGTAGGCTAAATGCCTGGCTGAGATTGGCTTTTTCTCTTTGGATTAGGGAGGGTGGGCAGTGTTGGAGCAGAGCTGAACTCCCGCTCAAGCGCTCGCAATTAAGCATCATTAAAACTGGCAAAGTATAGACCAAAGCCACGTCAAGTGGAACCCGTGGGGTGAGCAGCAACAGCAGCAGCGTGTGACAAAATGGCCACATTAGGAGCTGGAGTTGGAGCTAAAGCTGTAGAGGCAGGAGCTGGAGCGAAGCGGAGCTAAAGTGGTTCGGCTTGACATGCCTCTTGACATTTTCGGGTGCTAATGATGACGTTGAGCGACTTTCCGCTTCCCCTCTGCACATTAACATTCATTTAAAAATTTGTCATAATTGGCCATTTTATTGTGATATTGTGTTCGTTTTTATTTTATTCTTACCATTTCCCAGCACTGGCACTTGACATTCCCCGGGCAAATTAAATGACGATTCGGCCCATTGTCATATCATAACCTGTCCCAGTCCCAGTTTGTACCATTTCCCAGATTTCTTGTAATTTTTGTTCTCTCTGGCTTTCCGGCTGCCAATTAAATGAGGAGCTCTTTCGTGTTGGCTCCCCCAATTTTCTGTTGCTATGTTGCTTGGCTTGGTTGTTGTTTTTTTTTTTTCACATCCTCACGCGCTTTATTTTGTTTTTATTTCAATTCTACGGAATTCCTTTGAGCGCGAGAGGGGGGCATTAACAAAAAACAAAAATGAAATGTTATTTTTAGTCAGCGCAAAATTTTTGCAATAACAACAATCCGGTTGGGTTTGCAAACTGGCTTCTTGGATTTCTGTGCCTTGTTTACGGATAACGTACTTGAATAGCATCATCTACCAAAAATCCAAGCTGTGCCAGTTCCATTTATACCATTTCCATAGCTTAAGCATATTAGATGCGGGCATATAGAAAACAGAATAACTTGTATATAAAAACATAATGCTGCATTATTGAGACGCCAGCGCATTTGCCGCCCAGTTCGTGACCAGATCCGGGCACACGGCGCTCTGGTCATAAATCGTGCTGGATGCATGACCCGACATGGAATTCCTGTACTCGATTTAAACGGTAGCCGCAGAGACAACTGGGTTGAGTGCTGTGTTATCTTGGCTATTTCTCTGATTGATTGATTGCTTGCAGGCTCACATTTGGACTTGGACCTGGACCTGGACTGGGATCCAGCTTTGTCTGTCTGCTGCTGATGCTGGCAGATCAATCGCTGCTGGAGCAGCGCAATTTCAATAATTCACAAAAGGCAACGTCAAATGGGAGACCCCGAAGAGTTATAGTCCTCGACATTTCAACTGAGGTCGCTGCTGCTGCTGCTGCTGCTGCTGCAGTTGAAGTTGCATTCAATGTTGTTGTTGTTGTTGTTGTTGGCCACTTTTCGCCTTTGATTTTCAGTGCGCGATTAAAATGCGCCTGGGCCCAAAAAAGGCAATGACAATTTTAGCTGGATCTGTACTTGGACCTGGCAGCCGTTGCCTTCCCATAGAGCACCCCCAACAGCAATTGCTAGCTGTCTCTGCCTCCCTCTCTCTCTATCTCTGGCTGTCTCTCTCTCCCTCTCTCTCTCTTTTTGTTGCCGCTGCCTTTTAATAAACGCATCGCTGCGCATTCGCACAAAAAAATGCCACAAAACAATGAGAAATGTCTAAAAATTGCAATGTGCTGCATCCGTTGCACTGCCAAGCCGCGCTCCCTCCCCAACCACTTATGACTCCCCCCCATTGTGTGTCGCCTGCCGCTGCAGTGCATCATCAACGAGTGGGGCGCACGTCAAGAGCTGCTGGCTCTGCTCTGTCGCCGCCCTGCTCCCATTTAAGGCGCAATGACGCGCCGCTCATGCGCATCACGCACATGCCTTGTTCCTTGTCTCATGCTCTCCCCGCCTCCTCCAATTCCCGCGCCTTTCTTCTGCCAGTTACTGTTTTGTCATCCTTTCTAATCGTCACTCGCCTGAGTCAGCCTCTGACAGCGCAAAATATGCAACAGCAGAGCTGCCATCCGTTGGGCCAATTGGTGGGCGCATTATCAAAGCCATCGCAACGTCACGATCGGCCCAAGCCGAGCACCTTGGGCGGTTCCCAAACTGGGCTATGCCGATGCACACCAACATTTGGACACTTCTGCTTTTTGTAGAACTTGTAATGAAATGCAGGGCTTAGTAGTTAAGTACTTAAATACTTGTGCTCTATCCCAGAGTTTTGTTCACTTCAATTCTTCTTCTTTTATCCTGATTATAAATTGTATTTTTATTAATATTATAATTACTTGTACTATTATAAGTATTATCATCATCATCATCATCATCATCATTGTCATTGTTATTGTCATTGTCATTGTCACTGTCACTGTCATTTTCATTATCATTGTTAATACTATTCCTATTGATTTCAAAGATGAACTAGTTTTTTGGTATTTCCGTTCATATTTCTCGATGCGCGTTTTTAGTGCCCGACAGGTTTTTCCTTAGCCAATTCTTTTAGGACAATTTGTCAACTACAATAACTTTCAGAATTCTTAAATGGTTACACCCTTGCGCTTGGTTTGATATGCTGTCTGGCTTAAATAGGTTTTTTTTTGGTATTTTTTTCACATATTGTAGGGCATCAATTGTCTCTTGCTGACCGAAAGCCGGGTTGTTTCTCCTGCACATTTTGAGGGCATGATGAGATTGTTTTTTGTATTTTTTGTTGCTTTGCAGTTCGCTTTCTGCTTCATTGCCACATCGATGCAGTTGCAGTTGCAGTTGCAGTTGCAGTTGTTATTGTTGTCGTTGTTGTTGCTGGTGACATGCAGCTATTTTTAAACGCTGTTGTTGTTGTCGCTGCATCTGCGATTTGGAAATTGCATGTTGCTGGCCCATTTGTTGTTGTTTCCCGCCGTGTTGCCCTGTTCCAGTTGCAACTGCTTCAATTTGCTTGTTAAGTTTGTACAGCTTTGCGCTTGAATTGCAACGATTTACCAATGCAGCTGCATCCACATTCGATTTGCGCGCGTCCGCTCTGTGTGGGAGTTGCTGCTGCCCCAGAGCCGCCAAAAGGCAATCAATTCCGCCAAGACAGGCCAAAAGCGGCGGGGCCATTGCCCAAGATAGGGTAAATGCGCTTCTTCTGCTTCTCAACCTCCTACTCCACGCTCTTTGGGCATTGTTTCAGGTGCTGTCGCTTGACAGTCCGCACAGGTAACTTGGCTGGCGTCGTTTCCGGTCATCAAGCGTCCACTTACGGATGTGTTCCCCCAATTCGAAAAGTGCTAACGAAGTGCAGGGCAACAAGCAGCAAGCATTTTGTTAGTTTTTCTCGCACGCTTCAGCGGCAACGACTCCCAGCTCAAGCTACAGCTCGAGCCAGACCCCGAGGCGACAACGCGCTAATGACATTCACAACCTGAGCTGGGCGCTGGGAACGGGATGCGGGAGCTGGTTATATAGCTGCACGTGTGTGTGTTGGCGAAATTAGCATTTAAATGCGGCCATTGGGCCAGTTATTGGAACGGTTCTGTTGGCCATTACGCTGATAAGTCAATGCTGCACATCCGCACGAAGATACTTTTTTGTTTTAATGAAAAGCATAATGAAAACTAAATATCAGTCCAGGCTGAGCTGGCTTGAGCGCCACCCACGCAGACCGCAGATCATTTGGCAATTTAATTAAAAGCGACCACCCGGGCAGAAGTCCGCGAAAGAGCCGCGGCCAGCTCATGCCTCAGCACTTGGGGGCTGCAGTAATATGAGGAACCATCGTTGTCATAGGCAACCTAAAAGATACTTTTGTATCTTTTGCAGCTGGCGGCTGGTGTGGAGAGGCTCAATCAGAAATCGATTTCCGGCACATTGTCAAGTGCAAAATGTCCAAGAGATACAAATAGTATCTGCAGGCGACTCAAGTAAC